GTTTGTTATAAATGGTTACTCTTTGAAGACTGCGTTAGCTCAACAAATAACAACAACGAAAACAAAGCAACGAATCACTGCAGCTGTGTTCTATGTTTGCTCTTTAAAAACATTAAGCACAGTTTTTGATTTAGATTACTCCGTTAGTACAAATAAACATATATATATATATATTATTAAGTTAAATAAAAATTTACTTTTTTTATTTCATTCAGTCTAATGCAAACTAAAAATAGTTTTAATTATTTACTAAATAAATCCAAGTGTTAACTCACGTACAATAACACAGTTATATTTAATAACCTCTAGGTTATTTTCTTATAAATTATCCACTCGGTAAGGTTAATATTTAAAGACACACAAAAAGCAATTAAACTCTGAAATATATCTACAGGTAGTTTTATAAAAATGTTCTTGATGAGTCGGCGATTCACGAGTATGATAAGTTGATTTATATTTGTTGCATTTGATAGTTATTTGTACAAAGAAGATAAAACTTGTTATAACTATAAGGGGCAATGTGGTTTATACAAGACAATTCAAAGATTTTCTATTGATCAAATGAATAATATCAAACTATTCCAAATCATTATAGCATATCGTATTCAAACATATAATACTTATTTTAGTTTAATAAAATTAATATAATGTTTCAATCAAAATTTACAACACATAAACTTTAAGTTGATATAGCAGTTGTGAAATACAACTGGTAAATAAACCACTGAATAAAGTACAGCCAATTTCAGTATTTATGGATGGTTAAGCCTTTCAAACGTTTCACCTTAACTATTTTCCGACAGTTTATACATGTACGACTCTCGCTGACTTCGGTCTGTATAAAGTACTTTGCAGTTAATCATTTGTCTGATAAAAATCACCGACTATTGAATTTATGTATATCAAATACAGCTTCTTCCATAAAACCCCCACAGAAAACGTTATGAGCCGATAATTTAGCATTTAAAAATATCGCAGAGTATTTGTTTTTAAGAATAATCTATAACAAATGTTGATTTACGTTTTCTTCAGAAATATTGATGGCTTGAAAGCACTGCCAAAACAAATCATTTTCGATCGTAAATTATGAAAGCGACATATAGATGCAAATATCTAAAACTGAGTTTAGAAAAAAAAAAACTTTTACTGTACATTTGGAAACTTTCTAAATACTATAGCTCTATTTAATCAATTTGTTTTGATGTAGAGCAACCGACTTAAAATTTCTCAATTTGTTTTCCAAGTCAAATGTTTTTGTTTAATCCAAAGTAATAAACAGAAGTGTACAAGCGGAAAAAGTAAGTTTTATGTAACGAGTGAATTAAGTTAACTACATACATGAGCGATAAAAACATATGTTTTCATACAGATGACATTTGATGTCGGTTCTTTACGATAGTTGAATATGTGGCATTCACAGTTGATTTAGGACGAAGTGGTTAAGTGAATACCTATTCAGAAATTAGCCTTTTTTATTAAATATTTCACGTGTAGTTCACAAGAAAAGGTATTAACCATGTAATTGTAAAGGTAAAATAGTCAAATTGGAATCCAGTCAATATTTGTTTGCTTTGGTTCTTTTCACAAAAACATCAATTTATAACTGATACCTTTATTTCATATATTTAGGTTGACTCGATATATACATAAAGTGGCTTTGACCGAATTTACATTATGTAAACATCAGCTAAGATAGCACCCCTAAGTGGCTCAGCGGTAAGTCTGAAGGCTTATAACGATACAAACTGGATTTCGATACCCATGGTAGACACAGTAGAGTTAGCCCATTGTGTAGCTTTGTGCTTAGCAACAAACAGTCAGCTACTGCTATTTACTGTGCGTATCCTTCATGTTATATTTCAAGGAAAAGTGTTATCATAATTAGATATATCGATTATATATAATTAATTACATATAATTACACAACATACGGCTTTTTATGTACAAAACACAGACACATGTAAACGTAGAAATATTATTGAAAAAATTAATCTATATCTCTACATTTTATAAAAAAAATGTTTGAAATATAAATGACTTGTGGAAGTTACATGGAACGACACGTGTTTATATATGTGTTTGTTTGAGAGCCACAGACGACTACTTGCTCTGTCTACGGTAGGGAATCGAACCCCAGATTTTAGTATTGTAAGTCTGTAAATTTACTGGTTTTCTAATGAGAGACTACAGGAAATCGATTTAAAGTAATTATTATACTTCTTTCTAGACAGACCTTTTTTGTAATATAAGAAAAGATAATTAAAATATCAGCTTCATTAGGAAATTTAGGAGAAAATTTTCATACACTCAAGTATGCAGTTTCTTCTAAAGATACAGTAAATGAATTAGATCATCTCATTCAACGAGCACCCAAAAGCTGATTTGTTAACCATTTATGCAAAATCCTGTGAAAGATAATATATGTTTATTGCCCAACAAATTTACTTGCTCATATGCAACGGGAATACAACTATGAATAGGCAGAAAATAGGCTGTTAGTCTATTGAATGTATAGTTATGGCTAAACCATTAATTTCATCGGGAACGATCATATCACACATACATTAAATTCAACCATAGCACATTAGGAATACAAGTAACGATATGTAACTTACTGTGCATGTAACAAATGTAATAATCCAAACGAAAACATGGCGTACTTCTGCTACTTTATAGAACAAGTAAGTTTTTACATCTTTTTAATAGCAAGACATTTTACTGTTTTCAGCGAAGATCCTTCACTTGTTGAAAGAGATATAGAACAGAATGTATGTTGGCTTTTAAATTGTTTAAACAGAAGTTTTTCATGACTTTAGGTTAACACCCAAGTTCCGTCATCAAATATGTTGGAGGTACTTAAACAGGTCATTCCAACAAATATAATTGATTAAGTAAGTAGAGGCATTTCCTACTGAAACAAAACTTGTATACATATGTTGGAGGTACTAAACAGGTCTTTCCAACAAATATAGTTGATTAAGTAAGTAGAGGCATTTCCTACTGAAACAAAACTTGTACAAATATGTTGGAGGTACTAAACAGGTCATTCCAACAAATATAGTTGATTAAGTAAGTAGAGTCATTTCCTACTGAAACAAATCTTGTACAAATATGTTGGAGGTACTTAAACAGGTCATTCCAACAAATATAGTTGATTAAGTAAGTAGAGGCATTTCCTACTGAAATTAAACTTGTACAAATATGTTGGAGGTACTAAACAGGTCATTCCAACAAATATAGTTGATTAAGTAAGTAGAGGCATTTCCTACTGAAACAAAACTTGCAGAAGAGAGTTGCGGAGAAAAGCACATAGTAATATTTTTTTTGTGAATTATTTAATTCACGTACGTCCTTGAGTAAAAATAAAAGAGACACGAGTAAGAGAAATATTATTTCACGCTACTATGAAGTAAAACTTATTTATGCATCATATGAAACATAATCGCTGCTTTTGACCAACGGGGGAATGCAGCTTAAAGTAACATCAGATTCAAGCTGTGAAGAATGTTGCCGATACGTGGGAATGATTATCTTGTACGTATTTCTGAAATAGAAACCTATTAATTACGCCGCAAGCTGAAGAGTGACTGAAAGCCAGATTTAGATTCAAACTGAATAGCCCCGAACAATCTTCTGTTATGAACTGAAGAGAATCAGTTGTATAAACAAAATCAACTCATTAATTTTGTCTTGTGGTCTTGTCTATCTAAAACTATGTTAATCATTTCATACGTTTGTTTGTTTGTAGTAAAGCTACACAAAGGGCTATCTGTGCTCTGCCCACCACGGACATCGAAATCAGGATTTTAGCGTTGTAAATCCGCATACATACCGCTGTGACACTGGGGGGCTATTTCATAAGAGACAAATATAAATGTATTTGAAAAGTATATATTGCTAAAGAGCAAATTATTAAATTATATATATACATGTTATACTCTTATAAGTATAAAGTTGTATGAACCGAAATATAACATTTTTGTCACTAATGTTGCTTCTTAATCATTAAATCTACCCTGAAAAAATATATAGAACATATAAATATAAAGTTGTATGAACCGAAATATAACATTTTTTTGTGACTAACGTCGCTTCTTAATCATTAAATCTACCCTGAAAAAATATATAGAAAACATATTGTTATCTGTTTTCCTGTGTTTCGTTTTATGTTTAATTTTATTTGTAACTCTATAGTAGTCAATTTATATTTACCTGGGAGGCATTTATATCTCTCTTCATATAATTATATAATATATATCTACATAATAATTAATCTTTATTTTAGTAAAAGTTAACTTTGCACTTAGCGCATTTATAATTAAACATTTATATGTGATATTTACTCATATCATGTATACATATTAAATCAGTTCTTTGAGAAATTATTTGGATTTCATCGCATTCACAGTCATTATCGTTTTTCAAGCATGACACTTATCTTTATGATTTATAGTCCTAAATATCATAACTTATAAGCACTACTAACCTTTGGACATAACTTAGTAGTTACCATCCTTAGTCCCAAGATACTCTTGTTCTCAAACAAGCCTTCTTTCCGTAAGTCCGTTATCCAACCACGAGCATAGATTTCTGTGGTTGTCATGACAACATATACGTATTCGCTAAACGGTCAGCGTTAAATAATGGGCCCTTTCGATGTAAGCAGCCAAATCATACTTGCCAGTTCATACTGCGGTGATCACAGAATTTCTTCAGCCACCAACAGCGACTGAATCTTTGAAAAGAGGAAGAACATATGGTAGAGGTCATAGTCAAATAATGTGCGATATAACAACTTAGAGAGCGAAACATAAAAAAGTGAAGTTTTCAGAAGACCTGATATATTGAAAGACTTTTCTATATGCACTTGTACGGTATTTGGTAGATGTTAGTATTGGTATTTTACAGTTAATACGTTTAATACACTAACATTATTTAACGAATTACCAGTGCTTCTGAACTGAGCAAGATAATAAAATAGGAGTTAAAAAAATAAAGAAATGGCTTCTACGTTGTCATCGTTACTAGATATAGAGCACGAACATGACAACAAAAATGAATTGAATGACAAATACATATTCTATTTAACAAACATCACCGAAAATTCAACAAATGAGACTTATGATGAGTTACCAGACCCTTCATTCTATTCTATGTATTATCGTATAATTGGCACCATATTTCAAGGTTTTATCTTCATGACAGGAGCTTTAGGCAATATTATGGTGGTACTAGTTGTACTCAGGACCCGAAGTATGCATTCTCCGACCAACTGCTACCTGGTTAGTCTTTCTATTGCTGACCTCATGGTTCTGATAGCTTCGGTCCCCAACGAGATTTTATCATATTTCTTACTTGGCGACGAATGGATCTGGGGGAGAGTAGGGTGTGCGCTCTTCATCTTTCTCCAGTATTTAGGAATCAACGCTTCATCTCTGTCTATCACGGCCTTTACAATTGAAAGATACATAGCTATTTGTCACCCGATGCGAGCCCAGATGGTCTGTACCGTCAGCAGAGCTAAGAAAATCATCATCGGAGTTTGGGTGTTTGCTTGTATTTATTGCTCTCCTTGGCTGTTCCTTACAAAGATTAAATCCATCTTTTACAAAGGCTACAGCAATAAAGAAACTTGTACTTTTGCTTTGTCAAGAAAACATTACCTGGGATATTTCTTTGCTGATCTTATTATTTTCTATATCTTACCTCTTCTGTTGTCCTGTATACTTTACAGTTTAATTGCAAGAATCCTCTTCTCTAACGAGATTCCCAAGAATCCAGAGAATGGCTCCAATCAAGCTTCAGTCTCCAAACGAACCAATAGCATGAATGCCAGAATACAGGTAGAGAGCGTTTATTATATTTGAAAAGTTAATATAATCAATTTTGAAAGATATCTTTGGCAAAATAAGCATCATGTCCCATAAACAAGACTATTTAAACTCTTCTAAAGTTGTATTTAGTAATGAGAGTATCACATTTCAGTATATAATACTATTTTTAGCAATGCCATCACATTCATTACACATGATTACTAACACATTTTAGAAACTATTATCATAATTAGAGTGTTAGAATTCAATATATGTTAAGGTATTATAATCCTTTAAAAACTAGTTTGGAAACAAATGACACCAATGTAATACACAGATGTTGTTTGACAATTCTAATAAATATTTTTAACCAAAAGAACTCCAGAGTATTAGAAAAGATGTCTGCTGACGTTCTACATAACGTAAGTAGTTACTATAAAAGTAAAATACATTCTCAAGTTATTCATTTCTTATAAAGAAGCAGAAAAATTAGTTTATCACGTAGATTATAAATATGTGGAACGTTTGATGTCAGGAAACTAATGAAACATATAAGGACGATTCCAAATCCAAGATCAGAATATTGACCAATCTAGCTCTTAAAGATTGCACAAACACAACAATTTATGAATATCTTGGGAATTAATTCAATTTTTCCACGCACTTACGTTTTCTAAAACACAATAAACGTAGTTTTGTGTGTTAGAGAATCGTGGACATTATCTTATTCAAGCGTTCTATCTTAAACATTGACAACAAAAGGTACAATGAAAAATTGAAAGAATGTTACGAGTAATTTTAGTAACAATAAAGGCAAAGACAAGTCTACTCGGAAGAAGTAGGTTTTATTGATATTAATGTATGTAAAAATTTCTTTAATTTTTTTTGAAAACTTAAATAACAAATAATATGTTACAAACTCAGTTTTATCCAAACTAATAATCTCATCAAACACCTTGTCTCTGCATTAGACAAGAATTGCGCGATATAAGGAATCTACTTATATTTTTATTTTTATCGTTATCAAGCGTCTTGCTCGCCACGGAATACCATAGAAGAAATAAATCATTCAGGCATAAATATATATATATATATATATTGGATTTTTCATCCAGGCATAATTATATACATTAGATTTTTCATCCAGGCATAATTATATACATTAGATTTTTCATCCAGGTATAATTATATACATTAGATTTTTCATCCAGGTATAATTATATACATTAGAATTTTCATCCAGGTATAATTATATACATTAGAATTTTCATCCAGGCATAATGATATATTAAATTATTCACCCAAATGAGGTTAACTATTACTATGGACTACATTACAATTTTGTATGTAGAACGAAAACCAAGTTTTGAAACGAAATATATTCTGAAACAATGTTTATGTATAGTATCCAAGTTTGTGAAACATCTTTGAACAAGAGTTCTTAAATGGAATAAAGTGACTATCAGCGCTACATTTTTGTTACGGTACTACCAATGTTGGATTCATTTATTTAAATGAAACTGGTCTTATCAGTAATAGTTTCCGCCAATATATTTCTACATCGGTTTACTCTATAGCTCATATGCTTGCGATTCGAGTTGAGATAAGCTTTTGAAAACACTCCGAACTTTCAGTTGTGAAAGCGTTTTAAACACCAGATCGCCCGACGAGATTAAGTTAGATGTTATAACTTTTAACTCTTTCACTCCCACGTTTATAGATAATAAACTCTTACAGTATCGGTTTGTTTTAGTTATAGAATAAAAAGCAAAATGAAACATGCTTTAATATTTGATTAATTATCTGAAACTTAGAACTGATAAAATTTGGGAATTTGAACATCTTTTTATCATGATAGTACAAATTTCCAAATTCCAGTGGCAGTGCTTTTGAGGGGAAACGTATAAGTGTTCATGGTAGTGAAAAAGTAAAAAAATAATTCAGACTTAATAAGTTTATACATGTAAATGAAAACTTGTCAGACTAAGCATTAACACCCTGTTTGTGTGTGTACCGATTCCATTACTAATTATTACAGAGGGAGGGTTAAATTTGGAAACCCCTTAGCTCATAAAAATTTAAAATGTAGTCTTCACTTTTGAAACAAGTTTTGCATGTGAATACATTTCCTACTTTACTACGTTGGGGGGGGGGGGGCTATTCCTCAAAAAGGGAAATTCTTATATTCACCTCCGTGTATCAAAATGTATCTCTAGATTGTTACGCTTTTTTAGCAGCAAAATTCCTCTGCCATTGAAATAAATATTTTGTTCAGGAAGCCCCTGATATGATTGGGCATGACCAAATTATTAGTATGCGGGGTACAAATATGAAGGTCTAAGGTTCGAGCCGAGATATGCCATTGAATATACTCCGTACTTCCAGTTTTGGAAACATTATAACTGCTAATCTAGTTCAGTTATAACTATCTCACAATAGCAAACAACAGTAAGTGTAATTACAAAGGTTAAATAGAACCAATCTATCAATTGTGATTTTTCTCCAACTGATATTTACCGGTAAACGCATACTGCATTGTTTAGATGAATTATTTTAACTTTCATTGACACGTATATGTTAACGCCACCACAAGACGTATCATCCTGTAAAATTTTATTATTGTGAATTACAATAATAAATAAAATATTGTTCATAAATAAAATATATTTCTGAATGTGTGTGCTATTCTAAACTTTTCTTATATTATTTAACATTAATATATATTTTTATACGATTTCTATACAGCTTCTAAAGCATTAAAATGTTTTTAAATTGTTCATATATGTCTTCACATATGTGTTATATATACTTATATGTATATTATGAATTAATCCGCCACTAGCTCAGTGATAAGTTTAATGCCTTACAACGCTAAAATCCGGGGTTCAATATCCCGCGGTATAGGATTTGCGCTTTAATAACAAACAAATAAATAAATTGAAAACTAACTGCTTCTGACAACAATCAAAACTGAAAGTTCCTGGTGGCTTAGCGGTAAGTCTGAGGGCTTATAATGTTATAAATCAGGTTTCGATATCCGTCGTGGGCAGAGCACATATAGACTATTGTTTGGCTTTGTTCTTATGAAAAACAAACAAACAAATAAACCTTTATACTATTATATATACAAAGTTATATTAATAGTATTATATATTATATTATTATATACAAAATAACCTTAGATATTAATTATATTTCTATAAGTATTCTTTTTTTTAAGAACGTGTCATATAATAAACATTTTAGTTCAATTTTGACATCATTTATTGTGGATCATAAGCTCACTTTATATACACAAGTTTTCTACAAATGGCTAGTAGAATAGTCGCATCTACAAATATAAAAGAGCTTTGTAAATTAGGATCAAACGAAATTCAAATAAGATGATGTTTTCTTAAATACTCTATCCAAATCATTACCTTTAAAAAATATTTTTAAATACTTTTGCATATCAGTTAATGATATTTAAAAATATTTCTTTTCCTAGATATTTTAAAATGATATCATCAAACTCAACGCCTTGAGTTACTTAAAGGATCGCATTACTTTCAAATTATTATTATTTTCACATACTTAAGAATTTAGTTTAAATGGATGTATAATTTGGTCCAAGACACCAAAAATAGTGAAATGTGAACTTAACAAATTTAAAATGCCCATTTTATGTAAGTCATACATTATACAGTAATATATTACAATTACAAAGCTAGGAGATATAATTATACAGGTGCTTTGTTAAAAATAATACTATATGTACGAATAAGAATACTTCAATATGGTTGGAACAAGAATATTGTCCATGGAATTTTGAGTCCTTTTTAATCTACCATACAGAAACTTACATTAATTTAAGTATGTGAATAATGTTATACATTGGCCCTAATTCATTATTCCATATTATACAGGCGACCAATTGTTTAATTATTATAAATACGTGTTAAAGATGTCGTTTGGTGAAAATGAAAATAAATCCTTAATACGTGTATATAATAATTAAGCATTTGGTCCGTTGTATAATATAGAATAATGAATTAAGCACAATGTATAACATTATTCACATACCTAAATTACTTTAGGTTACTGTATGGTGAATTAAAAAGGACTCAAAAACCCATAAATATTATATACACTTCACTATTATAAGGGGCCTAATTGTATTTCTTTGGTTTGCTGACCCAAGCTATGCTGATTAGCCTTGAATAAGCAAAGCTGCAGTCTACAACAGAAGGTACAGCCAACCAAAGAATGCATTAGGACTCTACGTCACAAATTCTCTTTTTTAATTTCAGCTTTGGTGAAAAAAGAAAAGAAAACTTTAACTCGTATATACAAGATTATCTTTAGTTCTTCTCTAGTTCGTAGATTGTTAAAATCCGTATAATGTGTCAAGATGTAAGTGGAAAAAAACCTGGTTTACACGAATTAAAATCCATTACCTCTTTATTAAGCTAATGCTTTGTTTTTGAAACTTGATTTGCTTAAGCACATATAAAATAAAACAAGTTTTAGTGTATAACAACTAAGTGTACTTCAATCCCTGTTGGTAACGCATTATAGGTAAGAGAAATCATGATCGAGTAGAACTCATTAAAAGATTCTGCAATGATGTTGCTGAACGACTTCAGTTTGTCAGAAGCTAATTAGGATTTGTCGTTGTCATAGTCAACAGAAGCCTAATTTTCATAGTACTTATATAAGGTCCTTTGTTATCCTCCAAGTCCAGAAACCATTAGATGAAGACAAAATACTCTGCACTCATTTGCCTCGTAATCAATTTCGTTAATCAGTTTCCTTGTCTGTTGAAGGTAGCTATTGCTTTCCCGAAAATCCTTAAAAGTAGTACAATCTAGATAATAAGACGGTTGTATTTTTCTTATCTGGTAACAATCCTCTCAGATTCCATTTTTAGTAATCATTTGCAAAAAGACATTGCCAAACAGAAAAAAAAACGACACTATTGAAATCATAAAGGAAACATTGTGAAAACACTTCATTCAACACATCATTTTATTTGGCTTAATGTTTTTATC